TCATACAGGCACAAGATTATAGGCAAAGCTATACTGATACAGGTACAGTTACACTGTATGAGACCCAAGCAATATCACAATTACTGTACTGGGATCAAAACAATGAGATGTTTGCCAGGGATCTCATAAAAAGTCATTAGGATTTCTGCATGTAGATAGACCCCACTCTGTATTAAGCATGGCAATTCATGCCGCAATGGGTTTGAAGATTCAGAAATTAATGTAATTAATTCATGAATACTATTAAACAATCATCTACACGTACATTACTATTATTTGGATTACCACAAAATGAAAGTGCCAATGGTACGATGTAGTATTTATACAGTAACCCAATTATGAACCCCAATGTCAGGCAATTTTATTAAGGAAGTGGCTACGGAACCGGTACCGGTTCCCATTTTCAAGGTCTTATAGAACCGGCATGATCACGTGGTGCCTAAACCACGCCCGTTTACACACGTGCTTAATCATGGCAGCTGTCTTTTCAAAGTCTGTTTCTTCTGCCGAACATTCTGAAGCTAAAGCTCGGCCCCAAGTACCTTCTTTCGTGCTTGGGGAACGATTTGAGTCTTATGATGAGCTGGAAGCTAAGTTGAAGCAGTATGAAAAAGCTACTTATACTCAATGGTGGAAAAGGGATTGCAGGACAGTAGATGCCGCTAAAAGGCGTGTAAACCGACAACTCTCTGACAAGATACGATATTATGAAGTTGTATTTAAGTGTATCAATGGTGGGAGAAAGTTCAAATCTAAAGGAGAAGGGATACGATCAACAATGTTAGTTTGATTATACAGTACTGAGCAATTAGTTCAATGATCTCATTGTGACCTGTTGTACAGGACCTTTCGTCAGAACTGCCCTGCAGAGTTGTCTTTGATAGCATCAGAGGATGGAAATGGATTGGTTGTGAAGAAATTCTTGGATGAACATAACCATCCTGTTAACAAGGTAATTGTAATGTCAAGTGTTAATAGTTAACTAAAACAACACTAGATCATCATCATATATATGTGTATGAGTGTGAATATTATGTATGTGAAGTAGCCACAGGT